TTTGACACCAAAGATATCAAACAGTTCTTATAATTGCAAATCTCCACTGGACTTTAGTTCCAGATCTTTGATTTTAAAAGGCTTCCCTGCCAACACATCCATTCCGGTCTTCTGGTCTTCCAGTCTTCCGTTCTCTCCCAGATCTGGGCTCTGTCTGGGTCACTCCAACATGTTTATGTTGTATCTGCAAACCAAGTCTTGACCTCCACATTTTAGAGTATTGTCTTGTTGGAAGATCGAATGATCCCTAAGTTTTTCACGTTGCGGTTTTCTGGCACATCAACTGAAAAACTGCCCCAAAACATTACATTCCCACCATCATGAGATGTTGGCACCAGAACTGGTCCGATATTATGATGGTTGTTGCTTAGATTCTTCTTGGCCACTCTTGGCATCCTACCATGACCTTTGAGATTTGTTTTACAGTGTGCCGCTCCTTGTACTTCCTGTTTTTGCTTTGCACTGTGGCCACTGGCACATGAAAACACCTATGTGACCTATATTTTCTTTCATCATGTTGTGAGGTAGAAATGGCCAGCATCTATTGAAATGATACAGCAGCTGCATTCTTTTGAAAAAACTACAATTCCATTCAAAAAGCACCACCTTTTTTACGGCGTTTTCTGCCTATTATTCAAATGCAAATTCACTATAAATCCAAATTTGGCATGGGTATGAATAATATAGTTGCTCAACTGTACCCTCACACAAAAGAAACAAAAGAAAGGGGTGAGCCGACGACTTAACGGAGCAGCACCACCAGACAACTACAGTTTCTCTCACTTTGAATTTCATCACTTTAGCATATTTTGACTGGGGGGCGAATGAAAATGCTGAACGGGGAGAACGACACATAATGTTAATTGGTGTCTGCTGAAGTTAGAATGTGGGAGTCCACCCTGCGCACCCTGAGGCACACCGAAGCTCTCCGTGGAGCCTCGTGTACCTGCTTTTAAACCCACGGTGGCACAACCTCTACAAGATGGAGTAAGGAAGAAGAAATTGAGGTGGTGAAGAGATGCAGGGGAGGAAAAATGGATATGAATGTTTTTGTAGCCCTCACTTTTAGGCATTACTCATCTAATGGTCCTCTAATGAATATGTGGGCTCTGTTTTCATCAAAGCGGCCATTTTTTTTTCTTCTCCAAACCACTCAATTAGGCCCACATCTGTCAGTGATTCATTGTTCGCCGAGGTATGTAGTTGTGGGTCACAGATAGATGGTAACATTAAATCTGATGTGATTTTTTATTTCTAATGGATTCTTTGTTCAACAAATGTTGCTGTAAATGATCATCATTTCTTCTACAAGGGAATCAGACAAACCGTCTTGTACGGCAAAAAAACGTAAAGTTATTTCACAAAAAGCAAGTGAATTAGAGTGCTTCTTAATAGTATTCTCACTGGCATGTCAACAACTTGTCTCCACCAGTTAGGCTTCTTTCAGAAGGAAGCTGTCCTTAATTAGTTCCTTCCGTTTTCAGAGTTATCACCTGCTCAGACACTGGCCGTGCTCATAAACACTGATGATTTACACTGCGCTAAGTTTGTTCACTAACCTTGTTTCCCTTGGCAACAACCCGTCTCGGTCACAGAAGTCAGGTCAAGTCACGTCACCAGTATTTACGCAGCACATTTCAAACGACAGATGTCGAGCCAAAGTGCTTTCTAGTGGAGAAATAAGATTAATGTGACAAATGTACCGAACAAGTTTTAAATAATAAGGTTAAGACCCTACAATATTATTTAGCATCGTTCAATCTTTCATTGGTCAGATAATTTCCGAGCTTGTGCAAATCTCACTGTCTGGGTTGTATATAGACAAACCCGACAGCTGATTAATGTGTCGTGCGTTACTGGTGTGGCAGAATGGAACCGAGCATATTTGAAGTGACAGTGAAAGCAGAGATGTTTGGGTGAACCGCGGTCAGCTGTTCCCCTTCTGACGGATGAAGCTC